GAGGTTCCAGATGTGCACCCTCAAAAGATAACAGAGGATTTGCACAAGACAGAAATCTTATAAATGCAGTGAATGTGATCATGCCTTCAGTAGTATCTTTCATGTTACACATAGTTAAAAACTATACATTTAATGTGGAAAAGACTTGAGGAGAAGTGTCTAGCTAATTATTTGGTTAAATATGAATTCTGAAATCCTTTGAATGCAGAAATTAGGAAAATCTTTTTCAGAAGAAGGACCTTATTATCAGTGACCACAATGGGTTCACAGTGAACTCATAGTGACTAAAAATATAGTGGTTGTGGGAATGTCCTTGTCCTCAAGAGGTGTCAGTACATACTGGAGAGAAAGTTCTGACAGCAGTTAGTGTGGCAGGGATTCCAGTGGAACATTCTGCCTCATCTGTTAGCAGGTAAGAAAAGAGTGTGAATGTGCTAACTGCAAACTGCCTTTAGCAAAATAGTAAAGTACTTTTGCATCAAAGAAGCCTTGTGAAAATGTTTAAGAGCTTCCTCTTCCATTTCTAAACTTATACACCATATATTATACCAGGTATGTATTTTTGGACAGGATACTTTGAACCGTATTACCATTCATTGTGTGGATGATTCCATAATTGAAGAAGATAGTCTCCATCCCACATCACTGATTAAGGTTATCACATTATGTTCACTTCTCCCATATGTGGGTTCTTTTGCTTTTTTGTTCCAATTATCTTCAACACCTACCTAAGATTATATGAGGATTTGCTGTTGCATTTCTTTGACTCTAAATGTGGTAAAATATTTCAGAAAATGAGTCCTTTAAAGAAGGGGTAGGGGAGAGGACCAGGCTGCTAGGACTACTCTAGTGGTGACAGAGGCATTTGAATCCTTCCAGTCATGTGTACAATGTGGTCAGACATGTCACGTTTGTACAGCATGTGACTTTTCTTCTGTACTGTAAAACTGAGGCTGAAAGGTTTGGGTCAACAAATGAACTGGCACAAACAGACAAGGTCCCTACATCATCTCAGCCCAACCCCTATCTAATGCACAGGAAACACTTGAGGCCCTGAGAGAGTTGGAGAAGGACAATCTCCTGTCAATCTAGTTTTTCCAAAAGGACATGGCAGCAGAGACTTGGAAGCATAATGCCTTCCTAAGGCTGTCCCCAGCTGTCACTTCTGTGAATAATCTGATGAAGGCTGGTTCAGCCATCCTGGACCTCCTGTTTCCAACTACAGTGACCCTCTCATCCTATCAGTGATAAAGTACACATCATTTTTAATGCCACAGTGTATGAGAGGCAACTCCCCTAGAAAAAAATAACCCAGAGTTGTCTTTTGGAGGGCAGGCTCCTTGCAGTACAGGCTTCTCCCAGTAGGTAAGTGTTCTTGGAACGCATTGGTTTTTAGCTGAAAGTCTTGAGAAGGTTGTGTCCTGATTTATGGAAGAAATGTCCTGAGTTGTGGCAAACAGGTAATTGGGTCTTCCACCATGACAACGCACCTATCCACATGGTTCTGAGCATTCAGGAGTTTTTGACCAAAACTGGCATGACCCCTGTACTCTGCCCTCCCCAATCACCCAGTCTTGCAGGAGTGATCTTGTTTTGTTTTCCCAGATGAAAAATGTCCTCAAAGGGGAACATTTTGCCAATGTGGAAGAGGGGAAACCAAAAAACAGACACCTTACAAGGCATCAAAATTGACGAATTCAAAAGCTGTTTTGAGCAATGGAAAAAGTGTCTCGATAGGTGTATGGCATCAAATGGAGAATACTTTAGAGATGACTGAAGTTTAAACACGTAAGAAACACATTTTAAATAAATTTCAGGTTTTGGGGAGTACCCCCTCATATACCAACAGAACCCAAATCTTGGCTTATCAAGTGAGGATTTGGCACCCACCATCTGTGTTTGACTTAACTTGACACTGAAACAAAAGTGTCATCACAACTAACAAAACCTTGGTGGGATGCTACTTTAACATACCACACTTGATTACATGAGGAGTGTCCCAGTGGCACTGATAAAAATGAGCACCAGCCATCGAAGGATTCTTGAACGATATTATATGGGAGAAACTGTTCATGTGACAGGCTGTGACAATGCCTCTATACCTATGAAGGGACCATTGAGCAATAAAATGCAGAGAAAGTACTGTGTGCACCTGAGGGTTACCTCTCTGTGGGTAGTGTTGGGATTTTTTCCAAGTACCAGATGAACAGTGTCATACCTGGGCAGTTGGTGGGCAGAAGGATACTGAATGTGAGGGTCGCCCTTGGATATCACCACGGGAATGAGGCACGCATTGGTCAGAAGCGTAAAGATGAATGTCACCAGACTTACTAGGGACCTGCCAGGAGGTGGCAGGCTTATGTTCTTTCTGAATTCTTTGGTAGCATACATAGGAATCAGTGCTTGTGAAAAATGTTAAAAAACCTGCCCGTGGCCACGGCAGATATCGCCTATATGGCCAGTACCTTGGCAGTCCAGCAGACATCCCTCAACTCCCTTAGGACGACTTTTTACACTTTTCCATTAGCCCAACTGTGTGTGAGTGATACTACCTCTTGCTATATCTGTATAAATACCTCAGACATTATTATAACAAAAGTAGAGAAGACCTAGAAGTAGACTTAGTAATCTCTGCTAAATATCCATTTTTATTGCTCATTGGCTCTGCCTCCCAGAAACCACTAGAAAATGATCCAGCAAAGGTCTTTTCCAGTTTATAACAGGGATTGCTTTCCTCCAGTTTCCAATAAACTGTTCCTCAATTTCAGCTGTGACCTCCCCAGAATGGCTATTATTGACCATATTTCTACCAACATTCTGTTCAGAATTATCTATGTTTTTTTTCTCTAAAATGATTGAAGCTTTCTCCATAGCTCTTCTCTTTTCTTTCAAGTTGTCAGGAGTTATTGTTTTTAATACGTACATTTCTACCAGAAGTCCCATTTTCATTGTTAACTCTTATAGCTTTTTTGATTTATAAAACAAAGATTCTAGGTTAATTTAGCTTTCCTGCCCCAGATGTGATATCTGCTATCATCCAGGGAGTCCTGGTTCCTTATAATGGAAATTATATACAGAGACTATAATCTGGATACCATAACACCATTTAAAAGGTACATTAACTAGCAAAGCAACTGATGTACTATGATTTACTTTTATTAAAAAATGTCCTCAAAATAATTGGATGAACCACATCCACTATGTCAATCTATATGTTTATAACACTGAAGGAAAGGACAAAAAGACAATGGAGTTACCTCAGTCATTGTGTGTGGGCGGCTTGGCACTGGCTATAGTTTGGGCTCTAGTCCTTCTACAGTTTCTCCAAGAATGCTTTTTTACCCCAACCTTTCTGCCATCTTACCCATGAACAACATACTCCCTGCTGAATGCTTTTCTCTAAATCCAAGGACTTTGAAAATTAACGTTTGTGTCTTTATTCTCTGTTTTACAGATCTTGGACTAATCTCCTTGTCTACCAGGTCGACCCTCTGAAACTCTGACTGCTGCCTTACTGAATAGCTAATCACAGTGCCAAAGACAACTCTCCTCCCACGGTTTCATTTTACATGGGAGGCTGCCTCTTGCCCACCAAGCAACCTTCATTTTCAGCCTAAAGAAAGAAAGCCTCATAAACCCCCAGCTCCTAGTTTCCAGCAACAAATGCTCCTTTAGCATCTGGCCCCTTCTCCAATCTTAAAAAGGAGATCCACTCTTTTTCTAGATCTACCTTCTAAATAAATTTCTTTTCATTTATTTTTTGTGCAGTTCCTCACATCTTGCTCATGACACCGGTCACTAACCTAACACTAAAAAAATAAAAAACAAAAAATAAACCTGCCATCCTTGGGGATTGCTAGCTCACCAATCCTTTGTTTAAAGACAAAATGTCATGTGAGTCACTGGAGAGTAGACCATGTCATCTTTTTCAGGTACTAGCAGAGTGCTTATGTTTGGAGTCATCAGTATAAAAGTAGTAAACTCATCCAAACCAAAAGGCCTCTCTTCTCAGATTTCCTTGACTCCTCAATTTGACATTTTTGTTAATTAAAAGTATATTTTTAACCTTACACTGGATACAAAAAATAAACCCGAAGATGATGAAAGATTTATTAAATGGAAAACAAAGTGGCAAAACTTTTTACAAGAAAACACGGTAGAAAAATCTGTTAGGCAGCACTAGAAGAGTTCCTTGACTCGCCTTACATGTTCTATTGAACATTTGCTTCCGAGTTCATTCTGACCCAAATAATGCAATCCCCATCATCCCAAATACTCAGTATATTTCATGTTTCATATTGGGATCTGGTGTATAGGTATTGGTATAATTCTATACCCATTCTAACATCTTACCAACTACAGTAGGAGGACTGGAGCCCAAACTATCCCACCTTAAATTTAAAAATACATTAGAACTCATAAAAATGTAAAATGTTTGCTTTATGAAAGATCCTAGGAAGATGATTGAAAGATCAACCGTATACTCAGAAACAAATATTTGTAAATTGTCACTCTCGGGACTGACTCCTTCCTCGGAGGTTTCCCTGAATCTTAGGCAAACGCTGTGTTCTTCCATAAAGCGTCCTCCAGCCAGAGGAGATCTCAGGGTTATAGCCCCTCCACGTATTGCTTGAGGTCCCTTCCCCTCCAAAGTCCTCTAAGATCCCCGCGCCCACATGACTCCTACCCATCTTCCTTATGGTCATGGTCCTTAACCATCTCTACCCAGCCTGCAGATTCTCAGGCCGAACAGTTTGGATAGTGCCCATAGCGCATGTTACAAGTCATGATCCCGTATTTCAACTGGCTTTTTAAAAAGAAGGGGAAAAAAAGGGTGATAAAATCGTTTTCAACCGCTTCTCATGGTTAGAGCCTTTCCGTTCGAAGCGGCAGGCTCCAAAACAGCGGTTCCCGGCGAGCGTCCTTACTCCGGGGCGCAGGTATATTGCGTCATAAAGGCACATCCTTGCTTGGAAGTCCGCGACTTTGGAGCGAAGGCTTTCTGGCCCTTGTCGGACGCCATCCCCAGGGCTGCACAGAGTCGACCCCGGCCAGCGTGTAGTGGATCACGGTGCCACACAAAGGCAAACGTTGAGAAACATGGGTTTTCTGTGATTCGGCTCCAGCAGGATGGAGACCGGGGTTATCCAGTCAGGTCTGTGGTGGGTTCGGAGAGTATTTTGAAATCAGGCAGAGCGCGGTTTTCCTGTTGTCATTGTTTTTCGCTAGCGAGTGGGGGTCCACTTGGGGGACTGGGAGGCCTTGCGGGGGAAGGTTTTTTTTTTTATTTAATTGTGTCAGAGTCTCACTCTGTCGCCCAGGCTGGAGCGCTGCCGCACACTCACGGTCACCGCAGCCTCGACCTGCTGGGCTCTGGCGATCCTTCCGCTTCAGCCTTCCAAGTAGCTGGAGCCACAGGCAAGTGCCACAACGAGCGTTTAGTATTTGTAATTTATTGTAGAGAGAGGTCTCTCCACGTTGCCCAGGCTGGTATCGAGCCCGAGGGCGCAGGCACTCCTCTGGCCTCCACCTCCCAGAGTGCTGAGATTACAGGCATGAGCCGCCGCTTCTGGCTGTATTTTCTGATAGGGTTTATGTGGAGTGTGGAGGAGGCCTTGTTGAAATGACTCACTGTGCTAACCTCGCATTGCTTAAGCGTCCTCCTGTTTTCACAGCTGGCACCTGCTTCCTCAAGGTCACGTCTGAAGGCTGCGTGACCACCGTGGTCCACCTGCTTCCGTAGAATGACGTGTACTACGTGACCACCAGACTTCAGTGATGGGGTATAAGTGGGACCCACAAAAAGAACAAGGTGTTCTTTAGGACCTGTCTTTCTCTTGTTTCCCTTTAATAAATTACCATTTCTTTGCCTGACTGGTACCCGACTTGTTCTCTTTTTCTCTGCACTCGCCTTACATGTTCTATTGAATATTTGCTTCCGAGTTCATTCTGACCCAAGTAATGCAATCCCCATCATCCTAAATACTCAGTATATTTCATGTTTCATGTTGAGATCAGGTGTATAGGTATTGGTATAATTCTATACTTATTCTAACATCTTACCAACTACATATTTAAATAGTACACATTCTTTGATGTTTTTTCTTTTTTTCTGAAACTTCTGCGATTATGTTCCACTAAGTGGGTGCTTTAATTTGGGCAGAAGTGATGTAGATATAGGTATAATACTTTCATTAATCAAGTTTTTTGCTTCTTTGACTTGCTGGAGTGTTTTTTAATTCCTGTCTTCGACTTTTCTGGTTATGCTTATTTCTACATAGTTTATACTTTTGTTTAATTGTAAATGGCATCTGTTTTTTAAAAAATAGGATCCCACTTCCTCTTTTTGTTCCCTCTTGTTGGAGACCACTACCCTGCTTGAACTCTGCTGAAAACATACTTGGCATATGTGCAAAAGTCACAACCGGCCAAGAATGCCTATAATGGCAAAACCAGATAGGCATGTATGCTGAGGCAAGTTGTAAAGTACAGTGTCTGTTGTGTTAGAACAGATAAGAAGTTATACATTATCTTGCAAGCAGCTGCGCTGTATCTTGTAAGCAGTCATGCTTTATCACAAAATCTTTCTAAGATGAAAACAGAGAGTTTTATTTCCACTGTCTGTACTTTGTGAAGGTTTGCATAACTACATCATTTTGTGCTAATAAAAGTTGGGTGGGTAAGAAATTTGCTGCCTTTGTTCTGCAAGACACAGTGCCTCCTGGTCCCCCACTTTCTACCCTAAAAGTGTCTTGTGAATTGTTGATTCCTTTTTGTTTTCTGGTTGAGCATTTTTCTCATCTGCAAATAATTCTACCTAGGTGGCGAGCGTATGGACTGTGGAGTAAGAAGAACCTGCTTCTGCCTCTAAGTTAGGTAGGTCAATCTCTGAGAAAGTTTTATCATTTGTGAAAAAAAGCTGTCATACTTCCTATTTTGTATAATCATTGTGATGATTAATTGAGCAAATGTTTGGGTTTAGTTTAGTTGTGTTTTATGTCGTAGTCTCACTCTGTCACCCAGGCTGGAGTGGCACAATCAGGGCATACCACAGCCTCAACCTCCTAGGCTCAGGTGAACCTTCTGCCTCATCCTCCAACCGGGGACTCCAGGTGTGTGCCACTATGCCTAATTTTTTAAAAAAAAATTTTCGGTAGAGATAGGTCTTGCTATGATGGCTACGCTGATCTCAAATTCATGGGCTCAAGTAGTCCTTCTGCCTTGCCCTCCTAAAGTGATGTAATTACAGGTATGAGCCATGGCACCTGGCTCAAATCTTTAACTTTTTCCAAAAGATATAGGGATTTGCGTGTGTTTATGTGTGTGTGTGTTTAATAAGTTTAATGAAATAGCCATCTTATTCTTA